GAAACTGTTATAATGTATTCACTTAGGGTGGCCCTCATGCGCGAATTGTATGTGAGATAGCCTTGGCCCAAAGCACCAATGTTTGGAATTTAAAATGTGAAAATTGGATGAGTGAACAATATGTTAGGTGTGTATTTGGTATAAAGATACATAGTGTAAGGCATCTTGGAAGGCAAGTCCATCGGTCAATGACGGTATGTCTAGCTACCCGTTTTATTATTTTATAGTTTCGTCCCTAAGAGTTTTTTTAATATTAGGCTCGGTTATGGACACGTGTAAGACCGCCACCACCAGCGGTGAGTGTAGCAGTACCGGGATTACTTGGAGTATTTTCCCAAACGGTAAGGTTAATCCACTATTGGTATTTCTTGTGACAAAGCATCTCAGAGGCTTAACTTTGCAATATGATAGTGGGACTTCGGTACTTTGGAATATAATAGTGATCAAGCTACCGCTTGCACTGCCGTGAACAATCCTCTCTATCAAGTTAGTACCCCAGTCGCGGACGTTTTCTGGAATCCGCCATTAACCGCTGCCGGCGTTCCGAATGAAGTTGGGTATATTGTAGCAGTCCCCGGTACACTCACTGCTAATAATTTTGTTATTGATTTATACAACATTCAACAACTGATTATGAAATGGACCTGAGATATGTTTCGCTATAGACAAGCATGTGTCGGGTTGTATAACGCGGGGATAAATGCTTTTCTCTTTGCTCCAATTGCATTACCATATCATCTATAAGCTGTGTACTTACATGTTTGAATACATACTTTCTATTTGTTATTCCGTCTAAACCCTCGTTATTATTATACTGGATTTTCGTTTTACCGAAGTAATTCTTGCTCCCCCGATTTTTCACTAGTAAAATTCCCTCGTTATGCCGAAATTTAATAAATAATAATAATCGCGTTATGCCGTGACCGAAGTTCGATGCCAGGGTCAAAACTATTATTCTTGATTACATATTAATAGTACGAAATTCCATCAATGATAAACTTTCTATATTGCCCAGCCTTGAAGTATAAAAATTTTGTAAATTAAAATATCAAAATCGAATATATATAATATATAATTGCAGTAAGGTGGCTGTTCCTTATCGTAGTGTCATACCACTACTATTACCAGCAATGGATGTTAAGATGTTTGTGTATGTGTGAATCTTCTCATTTGTAAACCAAGGAATGGGCCTGCACCATTTCTTTCAAGTTTGAAATTATCACGGCACATAGAGATTCATCTTGAGAAGAGTTAGAGCTGTGGCTTCCAACAGTTAGTGACTTTTTACTACTCACGGTCTATGATACTAACTACAGAATAATAATTGGGCATGAAATTTTTGTGTACTGTAGATCTTTGTTACAGTATGAAAAGTTGGTATTATTATTGTAAACAAAAAGCTACTTATTTCTCCCACTATCAACTGAATTTAAGCAAACTGAAATCATCGGGTTACGGAAAAGTCTTAGCAGTCGAAAAATCAGTGAAGTTCTTTAGATTCCGAAATCCACAATAAGTGATGCATCCAGTGATATGAACAACATCGGAACGCTTAACGATAAAAAACAGGGGAAAGCACAAGATTAAGTGTTCGCAAATGTAACAGTGAAGACGAAAAAATGACAACACAGAACTAACAAAGTCGGGTGCACTTCGACTATGTGACTAATAATTGTCTCATACTACGATCTTAACGTCACCAATAACGTATTTGAGGAATATTTCTATAGCAGGTATCTCTTACTATCGTTGGTAATATAAATCAGCATACGATCAAATTCATTAACTATGATTCCAGATCCAGGGAGGAGAGGCGTTTGAGTTCTTGACGGAAATAATTTGTAGAAGCAGAAGCCCAATATTAAAAACATTATCTATGTGCGGTGCAAAAACTGGATCAGTTGGCGCATATCTAGTATTTATGTTATAATGGTCAGTCGCGTCAACTTTACCATTCTAGTTTTCAACAGAAAAAAGCAGAGAGGTTCACTTCCAATTCCCGCATTTACCTTGCCGACCTAACATAATTTCACTATATCGTGAAAACTCGATATACAGAGGACCGGTTTCGATTACATGGTCACTGCTATCGAGCTTTAGTCAATCCTGATGTGAATGGCCATTGGTCTTGGAATATTTGATATTCGTTATAGTAAACAAAAATCCCGGCCGATAGAGCGAGCTTTATTGTGCATATACAGTATTAGTTTGAATACATTGCGGTGAAAATAATGGCGCTGACAATAGCTTTATAGTATTCATAAAGACTTAATACAAACTTCGATTATTTTGTTATCAATATTTTCTTATTTACTTAATACGGTCAAACCCTCTTTAAATGTATGATTAAACAATAAATCAATTTTACGGAATCTTTAGGACATAGACAGGAGCGATTTTTCAAAGTAAGAACATTGTGAATGCGGTGGGTAAATTGTTTCAAGTATTAAAGCTTATTATCAGCAACCGCGTGAGAATATAAAATAAGTTTATAGAAGATTCAGACCTTGCAAGCAAGATAATCGTTTTCCATAATAAAGGTGTTTGCTTCTAGTAAAACGTGCTTTAAAAGGCACACTCTTGAGACCAGCCAACCATAGGCATGTTGAGAAAGTGTACGATCTACATAACATGAGAAGCATATAATTTTATTTATTAAAAATGTCAATTTAAAGTTGTGACACAAATAGAGTGCGCATTTATCACCAGGTCTCAAGCTCACAGTGCAATAATTGCCGTAGAGATTTTGCTTTAGTATAGTTCAAACGCATAATTGTCTCTTGAACAATTTTTCCGTATTGGAAACAAAAATAAATGGTATATGACGTAAAAGGTTAAAAGCGTATTAATATTTCATTGTGCACATTCTGACGTTGCTAAAAGTAGTAAAAAAGTTGCGCTGACAATAATAGGCCACGCGTGCTTACTCAAACCGCATAATTTAATGTCTTTGAACTTGCTAGACGTTGTCTGGTGTCGGATATTTTCTCATTAGCATTTCGAATTTTCTTACTAAATCTTTAATTAGAACAAAATACACAGTCAACTCCGTTTAACCAAAGGACTAAGTAGGACCCCGCTAAACCGAAGGTAAGTTCTAAAATCTCTATATTAAATTTACCCCGATATAGCGAATTACTAATTGAACCCCGTTAAACCGCTTTCTTAGCATTTCCCACCACCTATGTTCCCGATTCCCGACCCACTTCGGTTTAACGGGTTCACTGTGTAATTGTTAAAATATTAAAGTATCTCAATCAGTGTACACTTGTCATTAATGATCAAAATAAGTTTACTTTATTCGAATAAAAACTGTATCGTATAACCATATGCGCCAACAATGTTTAATACACACGTGTCCTTTATTTTTGCATGATATGCCAAGATTGGCATAAATGCCATGCATGATAAAAACCCACATAAGTTTTGAAAAATTTTGTTGCACATGACAATAATGAATGTGTTATAAAACAAAAAACTGTATCACAGCGAAATTATCTTTAACTGGTCAAAACACTACTTAAATAATCGAACATTCGTACGCATAATTCGACTTGCTTGAACTTTTCGAAAATAATTTATGGAAATGGTCAACTTAAAGTGATAACTACGTCATAGAGGGGTTGTAAGCAAATCATAGGTGAGACAGCATGATTTGGAATCTATTTTATGACGAACGGCTAACGACAACTGTTCAATAAATCGGGTTTATCCATCATCAATAAACAAAAAATTTGATTTTCATGTTATGTCGAAACTCGGAAGATTTGCTGTAGGCAAGCAGTATTATAAAATAAGCAACTTGATGATTCAATGGTTCTCCACAATCATAAAATTAATAATTCCAACATAAGGTTGTTTGTATTAATGTAGCTCATATTAAAATAGGCTGTTGCACAAATTCATATGAAAGTGCGTTGTATTGTTTGTTGGTTACCGCCCCGCCCCGTTCATGGGAATGACTCAGCATACACCCAGTGAAAGATAGACGAGATGAAGAACATATGCTATTATTGTGCTGACACAACTTCACATGTGCCGCTATTACGTACATGTGAGAGATATGTAAATACTAGTATCTCTCAGAACGGAGAATATGGAAGTATCTTGTGTAAGGATTGACATCTCTCAGTGTTAAACATCAATAACAAATACCAAAATTAGCTAGCTTGGTCTTCAATTAAAAACCATGCTGGGTGACCATCTATGGAGAAGGATCTCCTGTAACTATAACGAAGATTAACATTATATTAGAATTCATTCTCTTTTTCGAATTAGATCTACTAACATGCTAATACTGTATAAAATGTGCAGCTGATTATAATATCATGATCGTCAAATTAATCAAGTACTTGGAAAAACGGGCCTTTTATTATAATTGTCTTTTTTGACAAGTCTTAAATGGCTGCTAGGGAATTGAGTCGATTGTTATCGTAAATAGATAGACAGAATTTGTATGGTTTATTCATTCTAACACAACTTCTTTGAGCTTGGCTTAATTTGTTATTCTGTAACCCTTCACTAAACAAGTGGTCCCAACAATAGTATCTATGGATGCATGCCAAGGTTATCGTATAAATAAAGTAATTCATGACCTTGGAACATGCATATCCAAAAGATCATCTTATTTCACATTTTATCCCAAATTCTGTAAGTTCGACTTAAATCCCACTAGACTTTTTTATATGACGGGGCGATCATCGAATTGTCATTAAATATTTGATTACTTAATTTAGATTATTTATATTATAGTAATATATGATCGAGATGAATATTACATATCATTACCGTGAGTATGAAGTTTTCCCCACAAAGTAACGATAGCAAGAACAATAAAAACTTTTAATAATATTATAGCGGAGAAGGTTTCATGAATATACGAGTGCAGGGTAGAAACCAGAGTTACCGCGATAAATTTCAAACTGCCACCCGTTGCTTTAGCTTTAGAAGAACAGTCTCATCTTTATTGCCTTTATCCGTAACAAAGCGATTTGGCAACGGCAATACCTTAATAAGACAACGATCATTCTCATTATACCGTCTAAAGCGGCGTGACCATTACTTTACGCCCGCATTGTCTGCTTTGTTTACAGTATTTACAATGTGAAACAGTATAATTATATTGTTTATGGACATTCGTCATACCCGCTGATACTTGACCCGCCAATCTTTAAATAACATTTCTAAAATAGGCTTGGCTAAATGCTTATCGTACACTTATGGTAAACTAGTGTTCGTGTACGAGTTTCTTCGGTTTTTTAATTTTTTATTTGAACACCAACCAATCAGGTTTTGCAGCTATATATTAGTATGGGATACTCGTTTTTCTCGAATACTACTGTAAACCATGTGCTTGCTTCTCTTCTTTCAACCATTACTCTCCAATCCTTACTCGTAATAGTTCATTAAATAATAATATAAGCAGCACCTAATTTTAAAAACGAAGATTGCAGTAATTATTAGTTGCGTCATATTTATACTTACCCTTTAACATGCACACTATCAATCATAATGTCAAAATACATACAACCCGAAGACCCACAATAATATCCATTCTCCACTCTTCCCATTTCATTTTTCTCCTTCTCCTCGCATTCATAACTACTCTGGTACATTCAGCTGGCTCGCCTGTACCTGGACCACGAACTAAACATTGTGCCGTTACATGGACAGACCCAACCGGCATTACATACCTATACGTATATGGAGGAACGGGAGACCCAAATTCCTCTCCATTTTCGCGCATACAATTGCCGCTTTCTTCACCTCAATCCACTTCATCATGGACAAGCCTCTCCCAGGACAAAATGCTTGTTTTATCTGAGGCAGCATGTATAGTTTCACCCGACAACAGGTTTCTCTTGGTTATCGGAGGAACACTGGCGGATGGAACCGTACCCACAACTAGGCCATTCCCCTTGTCTCTAGGAATTCAAGCATTTGATCTACGACATAATGTATGGATAGCAGCTCCTATAATAGACAGTTTAACCGACGCAGTTGGCCCACTTTTAAACGGAAGAACTGGGTCGGTGGCTGCAAGCTATATTACCGATGGGGCCAAGAGAGTTGTAGTATATGGTGGGTCACATCCGAATGGAACTGATAACAGCCGGCCCCGCACTTTTATTCTCAGCATGGACTCTGATGCGAGGTGGACGTGGGTTCCCAGGTTCTACGATAGCCTAACTCCTCCCGCTGTTCAATATCCAGGGATAACTATGCTAGATAACAACAAAATCCTCTTAATAGGAGGACAACAATTAAACAATCAGGGTATTCCTGTGGCGTCGGTAACTGATATCTATACATTTGATGCTGCAGCATTGAGATGGGAGGGAAAATCGGACAAGTCGCTCAAGGCGCCCGTATGTGACACGTGTCAAATAGCAGTAGGGAATGGCAATCAGATATATCTTTACGTGATACCCGGCGTATCTTCCACAAACTCGTCTGCACTCAACATTCAAGTCCTCTCTTCAAAGAAGCAATCTGTTATCCTAAATTCGACCGATGCTGATAGTATTTACGGTCCGAAATCAGCTACATTTGCATATGCTGCATTAAAGGACGTAATGTACATCCATGGCACTAGTGCAACAATCAATAATATTGTCCAATTCAATTTGACGTCAGGAACTTGGATACAAGATAGCTCGTCTTTGGTGTCAAATAATTCGACGTCACAACCAACTAGTACGAATCTACCAGCACCGACTGCTTCAGCAAGTAAATCATCTTCGACACTTCCCATAATAGTTGGCTGTTTAATAGGGGTTTTAGGATTGTTCGGTCTAATTGCTCTATTCATGTACCGACGTCGGCTCAAGGAGAAATCTGGAAGTGGTTACGTTAACAGAAAAGTATCTGACGATATGACCGATAATCTGGTAGATGATCAGGCCTCTGTGAGTGCTAATCCTAAAGACTTCCTATCTAACCTGATGCGTAGATTGAGTTCTTTTAAAACTGTTAGTGTGCAACTGGTTGATGAGGAGAGATCAGATAAGCGTCAGTCAAGTGAATTGGGTGAATGAGGGCGAATGAGGGCGAATGAGGGCGAATGAGTACGCTTTCACTATTACTGACGTCTTGTGGACTCGTTAAAGTTCTAATGAGTCATTCGGAAGTTTATGATTGTAGAAAAAATAGTCCTGTTTGTATCGAATAATTGTATAAATAATAGATAGATAGATATTATATTATTTGTCGTATTTGGTGATTATACTTGCTGCAATCAATAGGTTTTACATAACCTCCCCAACTTCAATCAGTATGCTTAGATTATCCTATTTCTCTGTAATTAATTCTAATGAAAAAAAAAAGGGTTAAAAGACGCAAGATATCCTTGTTTCTTGTGTAATCTACTATGTTTTGACCTCTTTGTATTTCAATAAAATCGAATCGAATAGCTTCATCAAGGGAAAAAAAAAGGGTTGCTAAACGGTCTATCAGTGTTATAAACTGTAATAAAAAAGAACCAGTGATATCAGAGGCTCTATTAATGAATTACGTTACATATCTCCAAACAAGTTATAGCTCAATGTCTTTGGGTGTAACCTTTGTAAAAATTACTCTATCACTATCACTATCTAGTTACTACGTTTGTTGAGGAAATGTCCGGATGCTATTTCACGACATGATTACATAATTTCCACCGCCATAGCTTCTAGCGCATTCTTATATCACATGATCTGCAGTACAGACTGGTAACACTACCCGAATAGCCGAAGTATACTTGACCCGAGTAGGGCAAAAAGTAGTGATGCGCGTAAACACATGAAACTATGATTACATACGTTGTACAATAAATGAATTTACAACACAAGTATAGCTTTTAAAAGAACCGGGCAATTCCGTAGTTGAGGCCACAACAACTACAGCAAATTATTGCAACCTATATGGCAAAACGAAGCAACTCAAGACCGGTGATTGCATATGATATATCGAGTTTGTGATACAATACATCAATGCTAACATGCTTCCATGTATATCTGTGAATTATAATAAAGTTCCATGTCCGTGCACCCGCAATTTTATTTTTCCGATGCACACGGAAAATAGGAACCCGATTTGATTGCGAGTTTATAATACAGAAATGGACTAGTGTTTCTGATACAGTCAATCATACCTTGTATCCCACTCACTCGGATATATCCCTATCCATAATCAATCTTATTACTATAGCAATCTATTATTACTAGAGTAGTGATTTGAGATTTGTCTCCATACTACCTAAGCTTCACTTGGATTCGAAAAAAAAAGATACTGACCTGTTTTTCATAGCGCAGGTAAATGACCAGGAAAAGGTAATTTCCAGCAATTACGCATTGCATTTCTCACGTTAACCAATGAAGATTAGCATACTAATACACATCCCAAATTCATCATGCTAAATATCTGTCTGAATATGCTTTATTAATATTATAATAGCAATGATATGTCATGCAAAAAAAATTACAAGTTTGGTATGTAAAATGTATCTGCTTATATATATATATATATTCTCGTTTTATTTGCTGGTTCTCGGTGTAAGATACCTTACTTTGCATAATTGCCATGGGAATCATATCGCCTATTCGCAGGCTTTAACCAGATGTTTCTTGCATTTTTTCAAAATTGTACTATAAGCATTCCGAAACCGTTGACACGTATCACATAAGTCCGTTCTTGAATGTAAGGCGTTAGTTGGTGCCACAACTTGCGGAATGCATCATATTTTAACAATTTCAACATGCTATCGTTTTCGAAACCTGCAATATCACGATAGACCGATTTGTAACTCGTTTCTGCTGGAAAAAGTGTCAGCGGCTGGGTAATACGATTGACATTCCTTGGTAATCCATGAATTTCAGCATAAAATTGGTTATCTTGGTCTTCCATCGCGGCATTCGTTTTATGTTACCATGAACGCGCGGTATTATACCATACGTTGCTAGGTAATTTCTGACGTTTTCGAAGTGAGTGCGACCAATTCCTAACATATTGAGATAAGTTTTGGGGCAAAGAGGCGTATTGTGATCTCAATAATAAAAAGTTCTCTTATTAGTACGCGTTTTCTTTTTAAGATGTCGGCTGGCAGTTATTTCTCCACCATTCATTGCTTTCAACTGGGCCATTAAAACATATCTTGCTCAGATCTAGAGAGAGCTTGAAACACTTTACGTAATTCGGCAAACTTTTCTCTCGGAATCTTTTTTTGAGCAACCGCAATTGCAACCTGTCTCCAAGAAATGCATTGCTTTTTCATATTCGATGGAACCGTTGTATTTATTACTATTCATATACGGCTAATCCTATATATAATTTTTACCATTGTAACTGGCTTAAGTCATCTGCGCATTGGCAACTATTAAAATACTTTTGTTTTCCTTAAGCTCGTATTTTCTTGATGATTGGTTACTTGCCCCTTTTTTTTATAGTGTTAGAATTACTTGCTGGTAGCATTTTTAAATCGCAGGCGTGTCGAATAAGCTCAAAGACCACCCTTTAAAGATTATTTGTGATTGGATAACTGCCTACAGCCTTTGAAAGTAGCATCAATTTACAGTTTCAGATAAGCTTGACGATTTAATCATAAAGCTTCTTTTATATACATGAATTTAACTCGGAGTTTATGAGTCCCAACAATGAGTTATCACTTGCATGCAGATGCAGACAATCCTATATTAATATACACTTTTTTGTCGCTTTGTCAGTATTTAGCAATGAGTAGTATTAATTGCGAAATTGTATTTTTTTTATTTACTGATGTATTTTAGTAGAGGAAGCTCTCATTTACATCTACATGGTTTCCTGCTCTGCATAATAAATGACAGAAAAGATTGATTACCCTCATACTAATACATGTTATAAAGATAAAAACAAGAAATAATCTGTATGCATGTTCTGCAATCAACTAATTTAGAAAGTTAAGTTGTTGTTATGTGAGTAAAGAAAGTTGTTCAAGTAATTGTTTTCAGGCCTGAGACACCTTATCTTCCTGATACACAAGTGGCATCATTGATTGTATAAGTAACTTAACATCCTTTGTAGCCAGATTTACAGGGTCAGGCCATGCATGCTGGAGCTGTTCCAACACACCAATATCCTCATCACTCAATTTATCCAAACAATGATATACAGACTTATCCAACCCAAATGCAGCTAAACAGTATTGTTCCCTGTCGGACTAGCTTACACCTGGGAGAGCTGTGCAGTAGTATCTGTTAATAGATGGCCATTGTGAGGGAGCTGATAACTCGATGTTGCTTGCATTAGAACCCAAGCTAAAATAGAGGATTTTCTGGTTCCAGTTTGGGCGACTACTGTTGTGGCACAGGGTTTACCATTTCTTGTATATTCATGAAATCTTTGATGAAAATGACCCCCCGTTTGCACTTCTAACATCCATTTCGAAGGGTGAAATATCATGGATGAATCTTGTGGATCCTCCCTTAATTGTTGCTGGTGACGCAGAAGATTTGCAAAAGACAATGCGATATCGGCAATAGGCTCGGCAATTTGTGCTATCCATGCAAAGGTTATTAAAATATCAAATGGTATAAACTCCAAGAGCCAATAGGCTGCTCGTTTAACCCACGCGAATAGATCAAAGCTGACCAAATAGGAGAACTTGTCGCATATGAATACCAATAGGTTAAATTACCAACCGCTATATTTTAGTTACGTCTACGAATAGAAAGATGACGAGTTTCCAGAAGAAACCTATAAAAGGGAGACCAATTATTGCAAATTCAATGTAATAATATAAAATATATATCAACTGCCATAAGATCATGGCTAATTGGTATGGCCGCCATGGTGCTGAAGGGAATCGTTCCCTGCACATGTTGAACTCACTATCGTAAACCCCATTCCAGACATTATACATAAATGTTTGTGAATCGCAGACACATGAAAGTGGTGACACGTTTATAAAATTTTGCAAATCCGATACCGTTTGAATATCCTGTTCCTTCCTAAGGTAGACAAACTTTTCAGGGTATCGTCGATACGTGTACCACGTGACGTCAGGCCAAACGGAAAGCAAATTTGGTATTATCTTATACCATTGGCGTGGAATCGATATGAACCATTGATGTGCAACATCTAGAAGGTAGGTCATGTAACAATGTGTAATCTGATAAATATTTTTCCCAATATGAATCATATTTGTTGTGATCCTCATCCCTAATTTTTAACTGCACTCGAAGGACATTACGCTCGTCAGAGTGAATGCTTTAAAAAGTAAACCGCCGAATAAGCTACAAACGTAAACTTTTGCTCGACGCGTTTTGAATTAAATAACAATAATTATAATAGGAAGGAAATTTTGCAGCGCGAATGTAAGAATAAAAATCTTCGTGGCGACGTCTAGATTGGACTGAAAAATTTGCAAATTGATTTTTGTGTGGGAATTTGACAGCTACTTCCAAAATCTGTAGTTTTTTTCCATTGGCTTCAATTCTATCTGGAAATTTGTAATACGATGCTTATGAGCTAGTTCTCGAGTGTATCGAATGTATTCGTCTGCAAGTGTCTGGTACAGATCAAGATTCCAAGCTGTATTATTTGCTTTTCCAACGTTTCCTTCTATTAATGAATTTAGAACTATCTTTGGCGACGACTGATAATATCTTCAGTACGGATCAAGTTCTCAGATCAAATAATTCAGCAAGACGTTGCTATTAGATAGCTCCTTATAATCTAATAAATATCCAATTTAAATATAATCTTTATTTCATTCATTCCCTGATAAAAGATACGAGCATCGTTTGGCAAAGTGTTAAAACGCTTTACCCGTCAGCGGTGAATAGAATTTATTCTTGCCGATAAATTCTATTGAGTACTTTTGCAT